CTATCTATCTATCTATCTATCTATCTATCTATCTATCTATCTATCTAAAAGCGAAATACCACTAACGCATCATCACAAAATTTCCAGAACTGTAAAAGCCTACAAACTTGAAATTTGGCACGTATGTTCCTCTTGTGTTCTAGGTGCTCACTAAGAAAGGATTTTTCGAAATGACCATCAGAGTATTAATATTTCTTATATTACTACTATTAACATGCTCTGGTGCTAAGGTGTTCTACTCCCCCTCCCCACCTGAAAAGAAATCTGTTCCAAATGCAGAACACAAACGGAGAGGAGTTTCAGTTTCACAGCAGCAACCAGGTTTAGTACAGAACAGTTGAGCTAAGCCACGCCCAGGCTCCTTGCTGTCTCCTTGCTCGCACAGCAGATACTGTTTCAGTTTCCAAACAGCCCTCATCTCTCTCGTACACTAATAGGACGCTAGCCAGATGAATACTGATGGATGCTGGTAGGCAGAGGCTGAATTCCCTCCCCCACTCTTATTTTCCTCCCCAAAAACTAAGCCCGACAACATAGTTTCATAGCAAAGCACGGGTACAGAGCTAGTAAATAATAAACTACTGGGAGATGTTAGATTGAGTCTGAATCTTTTTCTCCTGGTCTCTTGCAGATACGTGAAGACATACCTTTTGCCAGACAAATCTCGTCAAGGCAAGCGAAAAACTACCATCAAACGTAACACCATCAATCCCCTTTACAATGAGTTGCTAAAGGTTCGTTTGTGTATGTATGTTTGTTAGACTTCCTTTCCTTTCCTTTCCTTTCCTTTCCTTTCCTTTCCTTTCCTTTCCTTTCCTTTCCTTTCCTTTCCTTTCCTTTCTTTCCCTTCCCTTCCCTTCCCTTCCCTTCCCTTCCCTTCCCTGTTTCAGTTTTGCTAGTGAAGAACCAGATGGACTCTTGGGACTTAAGAGATGGAAGGATTGTCAGTTTGTGGGAAAATACAGGATTATGATTAGTCACAGCAGAATTATGTTTCACAAAATGTACTATTATGGAACTGTCTGACATGTGCTTTGTGTTGGTCCAGCTGTGTGGACTACATGGAATTGGGCCAGGGCTTTCTGGTTGTAAAGGAAGGGGAATATTTTTCCAGCACAGTATGTGCTGATATAGGGATTGTAACAGTATTTATGCCCATTAATGAAAATCTGGGACCGGAGTCACACAAAACGTTAGTCATAATGTGGTTTCTTTGGCTTCGTTTAACTTATTGCACGTATCAATAGTTAACAAACCACCCACGTGCCTTGTGTATTGCTCAGCATCCCAGCTGATAACATTTTGCCAAACAAATCATTCTTAAACCAACTCCAGCTTAATATAATGTATGCAGAACCCACGGACTGCAAAACCCATCACCTTTAACGAGTCAAGGGCTTGGGATGCCAAGATTGGTAATCCAACGATATTTAGAGGACAATAATATAGGCAGAGATATGTGTCGCTTGCCTCGTGATGAAGACAAGCTGTCAGGATTCCGGCAGTTACCCCCATTTAAATCATGAGTCTCGAGCCAAACTTCCAAAACTTAAAAAGGATTTATTGGGAGTTAACATGTCTGGCACTGCCTGGGTGTAGCCGACTCTGACACACACAATTCACTGTCATCCTTGACCCTGGTATTCCCCCCATCCCCTGGGTGTATCATAATTCATATTCTCCAATGGGACACATCCATAGCCAAAAATCATCAATCATAGAAACTTCAGTCACCTTGTTACTATCTTTGAAAAATTATTTATGGATTGCACTTTTGGTTGCAAGCTTCCACGTTGCTCTTCTCCTTTCTGTTGGCCACTCTAAAAGGACCATAAAAATATTTTATGAGTTGACACAAGCTTGTTTCCAAGTTAGCATTTTGACTAGCTTTCAAAAAGAGGCTCACATTTTTTGAGATGCTGCTGGTGAAAACTGTTCTCTTGTTTCCTCTTGTCACAGTATGAGATCCAGAAGTCTCTTCTGTTGACCAGAACTTTACAATTCTCCGTTTGGCATCATGACCGCTTTGGACGGAATCACTTCTTGGGAGAGGTGGACATCCCTATGGATGCCTGGAACTTCGACAGCCATTTGGAAGAGTGTCTTCCCCTACATGGAAAGGTCAGTCGAGTCTGTCACAGTTCCTATCCTTTGTTGTCAAAAGTAATGTAGGTCTTGGGTATGTTCCTGGAAGATATTCATGCAACGGGTTTTCAAAGTTGCTAGCTCTCTTAAGATGTAGAAAATTGACCAACAACAACTTTAGCAGCCTTCACAACCTTTTAGGGCACATTGTGGGATTTTGAGAAGGTATGCCTGGTGCTCTCACAAAATGGCAGCCGTGAGAGGCACGGCCAATTCCAGAGTTTCCCATTAGACAAATGTATGAGTTTCTCAAGCGTATTTTAGTCTCTCCAGATTTTTTCTTTTTTTCTGGATTTATGGACACACAAGTAGCCATCACCTGGTTCTCAGAACTAATGGTGATGGTGAAGGCTGGTGTTTTATTTATTTATTAAATTTATTGGCTGCCCATCATAAGGAATAGCAAAAGGATTAAGAAAAGAGTAGAATGAATACAACATGGAATAGAATAAAAAATAGAATAAAAAATGGAATAGAATACAGATGAATAGAATAGAATAGAATAACAGAGTTGGAAGGGACCTTGGAGGTCTTCTAGTCCAACCCCCCTGCTTAGGCAGGAAACCCTACACCATTTCAGACAAATGGTTGTCCAGTCTTTTCTTAAAAACTTCCAGTGTTGGAGCATTCACAACTTCTGGAGGCAAGTTGTTCCACTGGTTAATTGTTCTCACTGTCAGGAAATTCCTCCTTAGTTCTAGGTCGCTTCTCTCCTTGGTTAGTTTCTACCCATTTTTTTCTCGTGTTGCATTCAGGTGCTTTAGATAATAGCTTGACTCCCTCTTCTTTGGGGAAGCCCCTGAGATGTTGGACCACTGCTATCATGTCACCCCTAGTCCTTCTTTTCATTGAACTAGACATACCCAATTCCAGCTAGGATTCTAGGATAACTCTGGGTGGCATACAGTTAAGCTAAAACATAAAAAGTAAAAAAACAAAACCAAAAACCAGTAAAACCAATTTTGCCATTAGCCTCCCACTTAATGTGTTAGTAATTCTGAGCATCTTTTTAAAAGTACATTAGGTGAAGCCGGGAATGTGGTGTACATTCTAAGGAAAGGACACAGAACTGATATTTCTTCTTTCTGCTTAAATGGGCATTAGTAAAGTCCTCTTGAGGATGACGCATCCAGGGTGTTGAGTACAGTTGCTTTGGTTTAGTGAGGAAGCTCATTTGACTGCAGTTATGGTACTCATTTACTCTACTTAGTTTTACTTAGTGTTCATCTGAAAGTGCCAACTTCCGTCCAGTCGTTTGAATAATTGGACGGGAAAGACCGGTTTGAATAATGCTTCGACTTGTTTTTCTGATCATTAGGTACGAGCCTTTTGCAGCCAAACCAGTTTTGTCGCTGCAGAGACCGGCTTCGTGCTACGATTCTAAATTCAAACGAGAAATTTTGGGGCCTTAAAAAATCTAATTGCAACCAGTGTGTTTTAAACTTGGTTATTTTCTTTCTTCCCTTTTTTGTCCTCTTTGCCTGAACTATATAAAAATCTGCAGGGAGATACAGTTATAACCTAAGTTATATAATGCAAACAAACACACAGGGGAAATGGATTACATTTGTTTGAAAAGTAGCAAATAACAGCGGGGGAATAATGTTGTCTCGGATCTCTGGTGCTACCAAGAAGCATTTCGTATAATAATCTTTGTTTATTTCTGTGGGCCTCTGTCCAACAAACAACTTGGGCTCATGCATTAAGTCATTGCAATCTATATTGGAGTGTTTGTCATGCCCCTGTTAGAATCTGACTCCAAGGGAGAGGAGGAACAGCCTACAGAGAGTGGGAGTGTGGATGTGGAGGAAACCAGGGAAGGGGCACAGGCCGGCCGGACATTCAGAGGAAGACCCAGGGCCATCCCCTCTTCATCCTAGGGCACGCAGGGAAGAGCGGATAAGGGAGAAACATGAATCGTGTGGTCCACCATGGAGGAAAGGGCCTTGATCCCCTTCATGGGCTGCAGCTGTGAGGACTGTTTCAAAGGACAAACTGCGCATGGGCCAATGCTGGAAGCAAAGCTGAAAATATTTCTCGTTTGTCATTCTTGTTTGTGAGTTTTGGCGTCCTTCCCAGTATGTGTATTTCAATATCCTTCCCAGTGTGTGTATTTCAATCTGTGGACGTCTTATCCTGCCTTGTCTCATTAATTGCTTCAGTGTGGTTTGTGTTGTTTTTTCCTATTTATAATTTATATGTATTTTGAGTTCGCAAATGTTTGTGGGGGAGTTTTCTCTCCAGTCAAGGATAATTGGACCTTTGAAGCCAAGCTGAAGGAATTAAAGGGACTTCTCCTGTTTTTGTGACTTTGTTGCTTTTGTATCCCCCACTGTGGGTCATCACAGTGTTGCTTGGTTCGCTGTACTAACTTGGCTACTCCTGTTTGTAATGGGTAGCTTATAGCTTAGTAAAATGTGGTTTAGTTAACAAGTCATGGCCACATCTATGTTTTAGGATAATGTGAGCCTGGAGTTTATGTATTCGATCAGCCCCATCTGGCCTACGCATTACGGGATTAGAATTTTGAAGTTGGACACCACATTGCTTGAAACTCTACTATGATTGTTTTCTTCTATGATGCCAGAAAATAATCATAGTAGAGCGTGATGACCCAAAGGGCGTGGCACAAAGGCAACGCAGTCAGATAATCAGTAGGAGTCCCTTTATGAGCTCCAACTTTGCCCCCAATGTCTTGGTTACCTTCTGGCTGGAGAAAAACTCTCCCAGGAACAGCCTTTGACTGCAGAGGATCAAGTCCAAAACGTGGTCAACAAAAACTGTAACTATAAGTCCAATCAAGGCAAGATGAAGTAATTAATCCAGCAGGGCAGGAGCAAGAATTCCAGATGTGAAGGCATGGCAATAATTCAATATGGTTGGGAAGACGCCAGGAACACAGATAAGCAAAGTCCACACAAGATAAAGTCACATTTGCTCTAGCAACTGCCGCACTCAGCATGCATCTCTTTTAAACTCTCATTCCCAGCTGTGGCTAATGAAGGGAATCAGGGCCCTTTCCTCTCTCATAAGCCACACAACCCACGTTGCTCTCTTCTCCGTTCTTCCCTGCATGCCCTAGGATGAAGAGGGAGTGGGCCTGGGTCTTCCTCTGAACTCCCTCTCCTTTGTTCTACCTCTTCCCTGCTCTACCCAGACGGACTTTGCCCTTCCCCAGTTTCCTCCATAGCCAATGGAGCCACACTCCCACTCCCTGTCAGCTGTTCATCTTCCTCCTCGGATTCAGACTCCGACAGGGGCATGACAGTAGAGCTTCAACCAACTTGGTGTCTGATTTCAAAGTACTAGTCACATAATGAGGCATTTATGTCCCACTCTGAGGATTTTTGAATCAGGGTTTGTTCGGTCCTAGACATTTTCTGTATGTTTTGTTTGCGTAGGTCACTCTGCCAATGATGGTGTTGGCCCTGAAGAACCAGAATTCCTTGCATATATATTCTGAATAATTCCTTCCTTCCGTTTCTAAATTCAATATTTATACTCTGACTAATTCCTTCCTTGCCTTTCCTTTTTTTTTTAAACTCAGCATTTATAATCCTTTGCAATTCCTTTGCAATTCATCTCCCCCTCATCTCCCGTTTAGCTCCGCTTCTGAATACAGGTAGTGCTTGATTTACGACTACAAACAGAGCGCAACGTTTATGTTGTTAAGTGAGACATTTGTTAAGTGAGTTTCGTCCCTATTTTACCACCTTTCTAGCCACGGTTTTTAAGTGAATCGCTTCTGTTGTTAAGTGAATAACATGATTGTGAAGTGAATTGGGCTTGTCAGAAGATTGCAAAAGGGGATCACTTCATCCCAGGACACTCATAAATATGAGTCAGTTGCCAGGCATCCGAATTTTGATTACGTGACCATGGGGATGTTGCGATGATCATGTAAAAAAATGGTCCTCCATGTCTCTTTTTCCAGTGCCGTTGCAACTTTGGTCACTAAATGAACCGTTGCAAGTTCGAGGACTAGCTGTAATTTCCCCCTTGCCCCGTTTCACACGTATCTTTCCTTTCAGGCATAAATCCTGGCAGTGCAACATTGGTTGCAATAACCCCACCTCCAGGAATTGCTCGGGGCGCGATTAATCCGTGGCTTTGACCTTTTTCTCTTCTAGAACCTTGGAGAAGCTTCTTCTTCTTCTTCTCCTTCTCAGTACAAAGGCGACTTAGTGGTGTCCTTGAAGTTCATCCCACCAGCTAAACATCTCGGTGCAGGAAACGGGAAGAAAGGTGAGGGCTCAGAATATTTAAACAGCTTTTCTTGGGATGAAACCACGGAAAAACAAACAAACAAACCCGATCTACTGCATAGGCCCAGAGGCTTTGTTTCTCATTAGCTCCAGATGTTCAAACAACAAAGCTTTTCTTTTTCCCTGAGATGGAGAAAGCTTGACCTATTTGGTGGCGGAAGAGAGGTTGCTTGGCTTTCCGATCTTATGGTTTAGTTTAGCTAAGTTTACTTCGTTGTCATTGCACCTCATACAACAAAATTAAATGCCATCTTCCGTGTACATTATAACTGTAAAAATGCAACAACAAACACACCTCCTTCGCATTCTGTACCACTGAATTGAAAACCCCTGATATTGCATTAATATTGCACTATCCCAGTGATGGTGAACCTATGGCACACATGCCACAGGTGGCACGCAGAGCCATTTGTGCTGGCACATGAGCCGCAGGCAAACTTACCTGCACTGCACATGCGTGCGCCTCCCAGCTGATTTTGGGGCGATTTGAGACCTTTTTCGGCCTCCCAGGCTTGAGGAAACCCTCTGCAGCTTGAAAAAATAGGCCCGTTTCATCACTTCCTGGGTTTCCGGAAATACCAGAAGGGACGAAACGGGCCTATTTTTCTGGCTGCAGAGGGTTTCCCTGAGCCTGGGAGGCCGAAAAAGGCCTCAAACAGGCCGAAAATCAGCTGGGAGGCGCAGTGCAGGTAAGGGGATGGGGGATTGCATATGCATGTGCAGGGGGTGGCAGGGCGCGCGCGCATTGCTATCTGGGTGCAAGTACACACACACACACACACACACACACACACAAGTGCAAGTACACACAATTTTTGGCACAGAAGCCCAAAAAGGTTAGCCACCACTGCACTATACAGCAGAATTCAACAGAGTTACTGCCCTGGGTTAGAAGCTGTTTTTTAGCCTATTTGTCCTTGTTTTTATTATTCTGTACCATCTGCCAGATGGTAATAGTTCAAAAAAAGGGGGGGGCGCCCAGGATTTGTGGCTTGTTAGGCGTGTTGTGATGTCCCTTAGATCCAGTCGGGGGTGGGAGGAGGGGGCTGAATGGTCCTTTACAACTTTTCCCCTTTCCCTGTTTCTGGTCTTCCTGTCACATTAAATGTCTTCAAATGTTTTTACGAAGCCAAAGCGAGCGGCCATTTTGGAGCCATGGCGTAATCCTGCCTAATGTAAGGACCTGTCAGGAAAGCAGAACAATTGAAACGGGTGTCATTTCAAAAGAAACTTTCATCGAGAGAAAGTGATAGCGACGGAAAAAAAAGCAAGGCAGGATCTGAAATTCCTGCTCGGAACCGTTAAGATTAAACCTTGCAGAAAACCCTTCCGCAGTGGTCCAGTCCGAAGGGCGAGCTGATCCACAGGTGCGAAGTTGTTGTGAGAACTCGAATGGAGAAGGGTGATAAGAAGTTGTTCTCAGATGCCGATCTCTTCCCGTTCGTTCGGAGCTGAGATAAAACAGATGGTCCCAGGCAGAGGTGTCATTCAGTAGGTTCTGACCAGTTTTGAAGAACTGGTAGCAGAAATTTTGAGTAGTTCGGAGAACCGGCAAATGCCACCTCTGACTGGCCCTGCCAACCCCATCTATTCTCTGCCTCCTGAGTCCCAGTTGATCGGCTGGGTCTTCTTTTGTTCCCCTGCATAGGAGAACGGAGCTGAAAAGCAGGTTACTGGGGTGGGGAGGGAGCGGGGATTTTGCAGTGTCCATCCCCTGCCATGCCTACAAAACCAGGCCCACAGAACCAGTAGTAAATTTTTTTGAATCCCACCACTGGTCCCCTCTCTTTCCCAAGCAGGTACATCAAAGTGACAGGAAGACTAGAAGCAGGAAAAAAATATTGTAAAGGATTATCCAAGGGCCCTCCTGCCCGCCAGAATGGCAACGTCCCGATAGGGGATCGAAGGGGCCTGACATGTGCAAATACTCCTCCGGTTCAAGGAAACTGTTTTTTGGATGTTTTTTATTTTGGGCTTGTTGCTAGTCACCCTTCTCACCAAGGTCTTTCGTTAGGCAAAAAGGAAGAAGGCGGTGAACTTCAGGTCTGGATCAAAGAAGCCAAGAACTTGACTGCGGCCAAATCCGGCGGGACGTCGGACAGCTTTGTCAAAGGGTGAGCAATGGAAGAGGCCGTTAAACAAGTGCTTAAGTAGAAAGGAAGTGGATAGATTGGAACGGTTGTCCTCAACATTGACCTGTGTTTAGTGGGTGCCTGGATGTAAGTTACATAACTGTCACGGCTGGCACTGCACGTATTCAAACGTTGAATGAATGTCCTTGGCTCCAGGCTGTGTAAACGCTGGAATATTGAATGGAAAACAAAATATGATTCCTGTTTTAACAAAAAGGCACACACCAGCACTGTGACCTTACACAAAATATGCAGATAGTTTCTTTGTACTGCTTTTACTTTGCTTTTTTTTTGCAAAGTAAAAAAAGGTAGATGAACAAGTCATGGAAAATATCCTGTTCTGAGTCCCAAAGGTGCTTTTTTCAGGAGGCAACTAGACTTTCTGGGTTTTTCTTTTGAAGACGTTTCGCTTCTCATCCAAGAAGCTTCTTCAGCTCTGACAGGATAGTGAGGAATGGAAGGATTTATATAGTCCTTGGAGACAGCTGGTCTTTTGCATCCTTTTAGAGGGTCGTTGAGGCCACTTGGAGGTTTATCTGTGTCTTCAGGGTCAGCTGAGTGGTGCTCCTGGTTCCTGTAGTCTGCAATTTTTTTCCCTCTGGAAATCCATTCCTACTACAACACCATTCCAAGGTTTCCATCCCAAATTGTATAGCTAAAAGTCTGTAGAGATTGTCAGTCATCCAGGTCGTGGTTGTCCCAAAGGTGCTTTTTCAGGAGGCAACCCAACTTTCTTGTTTTTTTTTTCTTTTGAAGACATTTTGCTTCTCATCCAAGAAGCTTCTTCAGCTCTGACTGGATAGCGGAGAATGGAAGGATTTATATTCCTTGCAGACAGCTGACATTTGCATCCTTTTGGAGGGTGGTTGAGGCCATTTGGAGGTTTATCTGGGTCCTCAGGGTCACCGGAGTTGTGCAAATGGGTGTGGAGCCTTCTTGGAACTGTTGAAAGGACTGTGTTGTAGGCTGTTCTGACCATTGAGAAGTTTCTCTGCAGGGTCTTAAGGACTATCGATGCGTTGTTGGTAGAGCAGAACTTCTCAAGAAGATCCATTCTGTTCTGCCCCATGGTTCTGGGTCAACTAGTTTTGGCAAGTTTTAAGAGCCTCTTTCACGAATGAGCCTTGACTCCTTCCTGCCTGCAGGTGTTTGCTCCCTCTGAAGAACAGGGCTACGAAGAAGAAAACCCCCGTGGTGAAGAAGAGTCTGAACCCGCACTACAATCACACGTTGGTCTACAATAACATCTTTGCAGAACAGTTGTCCCACATCTGCCTGGAACTAACAGTGTGGGACCGAGAGCCTTTGTCCAGCAATGATTTCTTGGGCGGCGTCCGGCTTGGAGTTGGCAATGGTGAGAAAGCAAAAGGACCTGTTGAGGTTCTACAAGTCTTATAGACATCTTGAATTACAAAGGTCTCGAATTTGACGGCAGCAGCAGCCAAAAAAGCCAATGCAATCCTAAGTGGCATTAACAGAGGGATATAATCAAGATAAGTGAGATACTAATACCACTCTATAAAGCCTTAGTAAGGCCATACCCGGAATACTGTATCCAGTTTTGGTCACCACGATGTAAAAAAGATGTTGAGACAGTGCAGAGAAGAGCAACCAGGATGATTAGGGGACTGGAGGCTAAAACATATGAAGAACAGTTGCAGGAACTGGTTATGGCTAGTCTAGTGAAGAGAAGGACCAGGGGAGACAGGATAGCAGTCTTCCAATATTTGAGGGGCTGCCATAGAGAGGAGGAAGGGGTCAAGCTATTTTCCAAAGCACCTGAAGGCCAGACAAGGAACAATGGATGAATACTGAACAAGGAGAGGTTCAAATAAGGAGAGACAGTGAGAATAGTAGCTTGCCTTCAGAAGTTGTGGGAGCTTCATCCGTGGAAGCTTTCAAGAAGGGATTGAACTGCCATCTGTCAGAAATGGTGTAGGGTCTGCTGCTTGGGCGTGGGGTTGGACTAGATGACCTACAAGCCCCCTTCCAACTCTGTTAATCTGCAATCTGGGCACTTTAAAAAGAAATGGGCATGAATTTGAGAGCTCTGGCGGACCTAGGATGGAATTTTAGGCGTATTGGCGTCACTTTTTTTGGCTACGTTGGTATCCTGCCTAATGTCAATAAGGTCCCTTCTCCCATTGTTTTTCTTCTCTGCCACACCACAGTGTTATGAGCTGGGCTCTTCTAGCCCGAGAGCGGAATGGAGCTCAGGTCTCCTTGGTGCCAGTTCAGTACCTTCATCCAGTGGGGAGGCCCTAGCTAAGATTTTGTGCAGTTCAAAGAACGCGCCCCCCCCCCCCAAAAAAAATCCCACTCCTGGCTTGGCCCGTCCACCTCTCTCCACTCCTCCCCTCTTAGGAGCCCCCACGCGGCCTGTGTTGGATGCAGGGAAGTGCAGGATGAGTGCAGAGGCTCGGGGAGGGCCAAAAACGGGCCTCCTGCAAGTTCAGGAACCCCCATGGCCACGCCCACCCGTTGCTAAAATGTTGGAAGCCCACCCCTGCACACAACACTCCTCGTCATCTCACTATCGTGCTCCTTAACATGATCGTGGACACTCAAAAATCACCCCCCCCAAATCCCACTCCTGGCTGGCCCCGCCCAGGAGCCCCCACGCAGCCCGTTTTGGATGCAGGTAAGTGCAGGGGGCGCGCGGAGTCTCAGGGAGGGGCCTCCGGCAAGTTCAGCAAGGCCAGAAAGGGGCCCGTTTCCAGCTTCCAAAGAGCTTCCAGAGCCCGGGGAAGCCATTTTCGGCCCAGGGGGGGATTTTTACCCTCCCCGGACCGACTAGACCACGCCCACCATGGCCACACCCACCCAGCAACCGGGCAGGGTGAGGGTCTGAAGCCCACCGCCGCCTCCATCCATATGCTATGTTGGACCTCTTGGATGCTTTGCAGTGGATCAGGGGTTCCCCCCTCCCCCCCGAGTTTCAGGCTGAAGGGATGCTTGTCTGTGTATGTGTAGATAGTCCTCGGTTTACAACCATTCATTTAGGGACCATTCGAAGTGGCGACATCATCGAAAAAAGTGACATGTGACCATTTTTTTCACCTGATCGTTGCAGAGCGTCCCCTTGGTCACGTGTATTTATGCCAGGGTCATGTGATCACCTGATAAGTCCATGGGGAATCCAGATTCACTTACAAGCCATGTGACGATACCTGTACTATAAGTACTGATTTCTCTCAGTCAGCCAATCAGAATAGAGCTGGAAGGGACCTTGGAGATCTTCTAGTCCAGCCCCCCTCCTCAAGCAGGAGATTCTATATCATTTCAGACAAGTGGCCGTCCAGTCTCCTCTTAAAAGCCTCCAGTGATGAAGCACCTACAACTTCCGGTGGCAGGCTGTTCCACCGATTAATTGTCCTCACTGTTTAGATGTTTCTCGTTATTTCCAGGTCGCTTCTCTCCTTGATTAGTTTCCACCCATTGCTTCTTGTCTTGCCCTCTTTGGAGAATAATTTGACCCCCCCTCTTCTTTGTGGCAGCCCCTCAAAGACTGGAATACTGCTATCGTGTCACCCCTTGTCCATTTTTTTGTTTCTCATTGATTTGAGAAATAAGAATCCTTCATATTATATAAAAAAAGAGACGTTCTTTTTGAATAATAACCCCCCTCAGTCCTTCTATCTGTTCAGCATCCCTATTCTCCTCTTTTACCCTTCCTTTCGCTTTCTGCAGGAATGAGTAACGGCCAGGCAGTGGACTGGATGGATTCCACAGGTGAGGAGATAAACCTGTGGCAGAAAATGCGCCAGTACCCGGGATCCTGGGCAGAAGGGACCCTCCCTCTTCGGGCCACCATGATCAAGACGAAGCCATAATTTTGTCCCTCCTTGCTTGGACAAATCAAAAATCTGAGGGTTAAAAAAAAGAAGAAGAGACAGGTATCTGGAGAGTTGACCCCAACACTTTCCAGTTCCTGTAGCACAGGCTCCTTCTAAAGAAGGGAATATTTTCTTTTTCTTCAGCCTTTTTATTTTGGAAGTTCTTAGTTGTTGCAATGTGGTCGGTGCTCGAGCAATTCCCGGCATCTCAGAGTGCCTTTAAAAGAAATTTATTTTCCTGCTCTTCACTTCTCCTTCCTGCTCCCTTTTCTGTGCTGTCCTTGTTGTTGTTTTTTAAAAAGCCCTTTGGGCGTAGGCTATATTCTTACATCCGGTTTTAAATGTCACCGCTGCCTGCTCTCTCTTGTCAGCAGGAAAGGGTCATTGAAATAAAGTTCAAATCTATCCTGCAGAAGTTGCAGGAATTCATCTGACCTTGAAACCCTGTTAGGGTCCCGAAAGTTTGCATCTCAAAGTCGGCTGTAAATCAGAAAGCAGCAGAAAGGAACCAATCACATTCATCCACGTATTTTTTTTTTTCCGCTTACAGTGCTGGAAGTGGGGGAAAGAAGGATGTCTAAAATTACATGAATATAAAGGAAAGACACGGCAAGGAGTCTGTTTTTCTTGTATGATGCCCAAATCTGGGACTATCTACTGAAGGGGAATAGTAGAGAAGGATCCAAGAAAGAAAAGAATGTATTAAACAGATGGTTTTAAACAGGAGGCGGGGGTAAAAGAATGGATAACAAATACATCCCAATGACTACTGTCTCCGTTACCAGAAATAGCAGTTGTCTTAATCCTGGTTTTAGGAAGCAGCCTCAAGGAAGGTTTTACTCTTCTCTTGGAAAATATTAGATCTTCAATCTGATCTAGTTGGATGTGATGACCCAGGGCATGGCACAAAGGCAACCCAGCCAGATAATCAGTAGGTGTCCCTTTATTAGCTCCAACTTTGGCCCCACTGTTCCGGTCTGGAGAAAAACTCTCCCAGGAACCTGCAACAGCCTTTGGCTGTGGATATTTTAATCCCAAACGGTGCACACAGAAAACTTTAAACCATAAATCCAACAAGGCAAAATAAGGTAATAAATCCGGCGGGACAAGATAAGGGATTCCAGAAGTGAAGTAACACAGCAGTAAATCCAACCAGTTGGGAGGATGCCAGGAACTTAGATAACAGCAGCCAACATGAGATAAACTCAGCGTTTGTTCCCAACAACTGTCCCTCCCATCTGCCTCTCCTTTAAACTCCCTCCCCAGGTTTGCCTTGTGAAGGGAATCAGGGCCCTTTCCTCCCTCATAAGCCATGCCACCCATGTTGCTCTCTGTTCCTCCCTGCGTGCCCTAGGATGAAGAGGGAGTGGGCCTTGGTCTTCCTCTGAACCTCCTCTCCCTTGTTCTACATCTCCACTGCTCTGCCCAGCCTGGCTTTGCCCTTCCCCAGTTTCCTCCATAGGCAATGGAGCCACACTCCCATTCTTTGGTGGCTGTTCGCCTTCCTCCTCGGATTCAGACTCCAACAGGGCATGACACTGGGTTTTGTTTATGATCTTATATCAGCCTTCAACTATCTGCTGTTGTTTCTGAATTCAATTGCTAAGTCGTGCCCAACTCTTTGCAACCCCATGGACCGCGGCATGTCACCCATGCACACACCCACCCACACACCATCCTCCTGTCTTCCAGAATTCACCCAAAATTTACATCCATTGCATCAATGACACTTTTATGTAACCATCTCATCCTCTGCCATCTCTTTCTCCTTCCTTCTTTCATCTTTCCCAAAGTCTGGGTCTTTTCCAAGAAGTCCTCTCTTCTCATTTGGTGGCCAAAGTATTTGGGCTTCAGCTTCAGGATCTGTCCTTCCAAAGGACAGTTCAGGGTTGCTTTCCTTTCAGGAAGCTTGTAGGAACACACACCCACCCTTCTACACACACACACACATTATATA